ATACAGAATGTAACAAAGAGGTGGTTACCAGAGAGAAGGGGGATTGGGAGATGAGTGCAATAGTTGAGGGAGATTAAGAGGTACAAAATTCCAGTTACAAAAAAAAATGAGTCACAGGGATGAAATGTAAAGCATGGGGGATATAGATAGCTATACTGTGATATCTCTGTATGGTGACAGATGATAACCAGACAGATCATAGTGATCATTTTGTAACGTACAGAAATATTGAATCACTATATTGTGTACCTGGAACTGACATAGTGATGTAGGTCAATTATACCTCAATTTGTAAAAATGTGTAAACACTGGGGAGAAATGTATAAAAATGCTAATAATGAAGGTTCTCTCGGGAGGAGGGGTGTTACGGGTGATTTCAAATTTTTCCTTTATGTTTTTATGTATTTCTATTTGTCTGCAATGAACATGTATGTTTTGCTTGTAAAGTTAGAAAGAAAACAATAAATGTCATCAAAAATGACAATCTTAAAATAAAATATGGCAGTAGGTACATCTATTATTTTCTGTAGGCTTAAACTATTTCATAATAAAAGTTAATATATTTTTAAATTTTGTTGTTTAAAAGAAGAATGCTGTAGAAATATAGGCAATTAGAAGGAGCTAGTCCAATTTTCTTACTTTTGAGCCCAGAATATACAAGGCTGATTATTTTCCATTTTTAGCAAGAGGAACAATGGAGAGTTAATGTGGAAGAAGAAACTGTCCTTGATATGATGAATCATTGGCACTTTTGGCAAATGCATGGTCATTTCTAGAAGGAAGTGAACTACCTGAACATAATTATATTGAATCCTCTAGTTTTAAAAGAGCGTTTCAACTCACACACTATCCATGTAGGTTACTCTTTTTCTTCCTTACCGGGTGTCAATGTGAAGCTTTAGGGGCACAGTCAATGGATGCTACATTTTCATTGCTGCTAAAAATGTGTAATTAGAGTCTGGATTTTGAGATAACAATCTGCACACGTAAAGTACTGACTAGCTGTGCAAGACCACAATTGACGTTTTATTTTTAAACTCCTCACAAAACTTCCTCTTGATTCAAAATTGCCATCAGACATTTTCTAACGTAATTAGAAAGGAAGCCACAAACATCTTAACTTTGGATCGTATGTAATTTTTAGAATTAACAGCAAGTTCCAGAGAGTTCTGTTTGTTTGTTTTTAAATCAGAGTGGTAAATAAGTCTGAAACATTTCACTAGTGAGGCAAGACTCACTTGAGATACATTGTTAAACCTGAGGGGTGAAAATACATCACAGACGCAAGCGGTATTACACAGCACACAGTTTTCTGAAAACGTAGTCTTTGTGCATGAGGATTAGATATATACCCACAATAAGAGAGCATACTGGCCTATAATTTTCAACATTACATCCTTGTATTTTTTACTGTACACTATTTTTCAACTGGTAGAGTAACATGGTCTCATAAAGCTAATATTTATTCTTCCATGTTTATAGAGCTAGTAGAGCACTTCAGGAAATGAGAAACTCTGAGAAGTCACATATAACTTGGTGTCCTGTGCACCAAAGAAGAGAGGACAGGAAAGTCACCATGTTTGAAAAACTGGGCTCAGGAACTCAGTTATAAAGCTTTAAATAATTAAACAACACAAGGTAAGGGAGGCCTTTGATGTTATTTCTATCTCCATAAATGTAGTCTATTTATAGATGATAAATCTTATCATGTAGGATTCTTCATTTTACTAGAGAGCAAAGAAAAAGAGTCCTTTAGTTCAGTTCCCGTGTGCAGCTCTGTGGTTGCTGTGTGTATTTCGTGCAAGCTAAGGAGGTGAGTAAGTGTAATCCACTGTAACAACCAAGATACCCCTACTTATAACTGTGCCTTTAAATCATGAATTCTTCTCACTTTCTTATTAAGTAACCTCTGTACTAGGGAATTCAACGATTCCTTATGTTAAGTCCAAAGAAAATAGCAGCGAATGAGAATTTGTTTTTCTATGGAAAGACTGTGCCTGTATTACGGTAAATGTCTCAAGAGATCACACCCCTTAACAAAGCTTTCGTGGGAGAGATTTCCTGAAGCTCACTGTTTCTATGTCCTTTCCTTTTTTTTTTTTTTTTTTTTTGCGGTACGCGGGCCTCTCACTGCTGTGGCCTCTCCCGTGGCGGAGCACAGGCTCGGGACGCGCAGGCTCAGAGGCCATGGCTCACGGGCCCAGCCGCTCCGCGGCATGTGCGATCTTCCCGGACCGGGGCACGAACCCGTGTCCCCTGCATCGGCAGACGGACTCTCAGCCACTGCGCCACCAGGGAAGCCCTGTTCTTTCCTTTTAATGGATAGCCTTACTTGAGATATTGGAAGAATCCAGAGAAATAAAAGGCATCAAGTCATTTCCTCATTCTCTGCAGACGTGAAGAATGGAGGGCAGGAATGGGAGCAGCTGCCAAAAGATAAGTGAGGGACAAGGCAGAAATGTGGATGGAGGGTGGGTGAGGGATATCGGGGCTGATGCAAGAGAGAGTTTCAGCTGCAGTGAAGGGCCCTTTGAGCTACCCGCAAACTGATTCCTGAACTACTGAGGAAGCCTGTGACACGGAGCGGAGAGCTGACACTCGGGTGCATGATACAAAGCAAATGAAAAACTACTCCTTTGCTACTGACCTGTTCTAGTCTTCCCTTGGATTCCAGATGCTCTACCCGCCCTTCCTTTCTCAGTGACTGAGCTGATGATACCTTTGCAACACCAGCCCCACTATTTCCTCTGGGGTCCGAGCCCTGTCTCTTCTGTAAGTCCCCAGAGCTGTCTACTCTCTCCTGTTTCCCTGCACTGAGCTCTGACGTTATCTTCTGAAAGTACTCTGTTCCTTCTCTCCATGTTCCCATATCAAACAACAGTGATCTCCCCTAAACACCAAACCAGAAATTCTGGTTCTCCAAAAGAGTATCCATATACACACGTTGGTGTGTTTCTAGACAGCTGAAAAGCCAGCGTAGACCCAGCACTGAAGAATGATAGGGGGGAAGAGAATGGCACCCAGAGTTAAAAACTGGGGTCCAGGCCCAGCCCCACCATTTGCTCAACTCTGCCCATTTCAGCATGCTCAACTCTCACCGGCAACTCTCTGGTCTGGGCAATCCGGGTCCTCCTCTGAAGGGACAGGCAAAGGAGGTTTGAATTTGGTTATCACGTCAACCGGGGACTGGGTGGCGGGGTGCTGCTGGTCTTTAGTTCCTTGAAGGCAGGGCTACTAACCTTTCTATTGATCAAATCCATGGGCTGATCTTGCATCACAAAGTATCCCCCCGAAAATGTCAATAGTGGCCTCACTGAGAAACAACAATAGATCATTTTTCATGTTCCTGCAACCTGTCTGTGTTCTCAAACTTAAGTGGAACGTAGAGAACTTAAGAGACTCAGAACAAAACTGTGGGGATAAATAAATTTGTGGACTGTACAATTTCACAGGAACGGTTCAGAAAAATGGGTTTCTCTCTCCTGGAGAGAAAAAGGATGACTTGAGACTTAAGCCTATGATGATACAGGGGGACTCTGACCAATACATTCTGTCTCCATAACAGAAGAAATAAAGTGCCATGCGAGGACGTCGGGAAACACTTAGGTTTTCTAGACAGTGAGGTTTCTAAGAAAGGAGAATCTATATTAGGATTCAAAAGGAAAGTGGATACCTAGGTAAAAAGGTCTGAAAACAAACAGTTTCTCATTGGTTTCAGACAGTTCAAGTGGGATCTTATTTGCGGACTAGGGAAGAACATTTAGGTAACTTCTCAAGTCCTTTCTAGCACCTCTTTTTCCGTCAGACACTTGTTACATCTCTGCACACCATAACATCCTACCAAGCTGACACACTGGAAAGTTAAAGATGGAGACACAACCCCCCACCCGTCCTCTCCCCCAATATGTATGTACCACATGCCTCACCCTTCAAAGTGAATCAATCATGGGGCCCAGCAATGAAGGGTGCAGTGGGAAAACTGGAATCTAGCCCAGCACTGCAGTGAAATCTACTTTGATTTCTCAGTAAGAGAAGTTAAAAAAAAAAACCCACAGTAGAGGGCCATTGCAGGAGAAAACATCTGTCACCGTGGACAGAATAAAAGTCCAACCGAATGAAATAAAAGTCTGTGGGAAAAAACATGTCATTCTAGGGAAAGTACTCTGTTCCTTCTCCCTTGCTCTTCACGTAGTTTTTAACCACTCAGTGAGCCAAGCTTTACCTGCTCTCTTGCTCATTTTTCCATCTATGAAAGATGGGTGGATTAATTTCAGCCTTTAGGTAGGTCTTTGTCAGAAAGCACTTTCAGAATAAAAGTGGTTTACTTGGTACCATCTCAGAAGCAGAACACGCACTTCCAAAATAAAATGCTTGCTTTGCTAGCAAGCTCTGTCTTTAAGTGAGCAACAATACTGTTAGTGATTTTTCGAGTTGTTAACGCACACACATTAAACCACCACCACCATCACCCTGTTCTATCCTAATAAATCACAGGCTGAGGACCCCTTGGCAGAGCTAAATGAAAACATTCTGGCTACTGAGATTTTATAATTGAAAAATATCATAATGATAACACTAGATATTGACAAATGCAGTTTGGATTTTCAATGTTCCAAAATATAATTTATCAGCGAGGTCTTAGCTCATTGAAAGTACTTAACAAAATTTGATATATGTAGACACTCAATATAAATGTACTGGATCTGTTCAGTTAGAATTTATGAACACAGAAATAAAACTTGTTTTAAGCCAACGTGGGGGATATTTTATTTCTAATATCCTTGTAACATCCCAGAGTATCTAATAGTAAGTATGAGAAGGATCATATCAAATTTCTCCTCATTTATATCCATCTCCCAATGAAATCAAAGGATTACAATCTGTGCATAACCTAGCTCCACAGTTCTTATTGCAATAGGGTATGACCATTACCCATTTTAAAAATATCCCTCAAAATTAATACTAACCTCAGTGAGACAAATGGAAAAATTAACACAAACCTTAAGACCTCCAGCAGATCAGAAGACAAATGTGTTCTTTGGGAACTTGACTGAAACAAGGTATTCACACAACTCTTTTAAATGGAAGCTATTCACAAAGGAAGTCCCATGGAAGACACTGTAGCTCTGACATGCCAGATGCTTCTGAAAGGAGAAAAAAAGCACACCATTAGGATGTGTCCAAAGCACCATGACTGCCAGTACCAGCCACTGTGGTCAGAAAGTGCTGTAGTTAGCACCTACCGCTATTATTAAGAAAACAGTATTAATTGCTATTACTTTTGTACCCCCAGATCTTCTTACTCATAAATGACAGGGTGGATGGTAATCTTTCAGCATTGTGTTTAGAAACTTCTAAAGGCCAGCAGTATTTTATAACTAAGCGAACTCTGCTTTTCCCCTTATTTAACCAGACAAGGGTTGAAGGACGGAGCTCACGGTATGAGCATGAAGGCGGGAACACTACTTTTCACTGAGAACCCACCAGCTGTGAGGCACTGGGCACAGACTCTTTAATCTGAACGATGGCCCTGCAATTAAGAGGGCAGTGGCCCCATTTTCCAGATAAGAAAGCTAAGGCACGGATTCCTGAAGTCAGGTTTGCAGCCCAGGCATCAAAGCCTAAAAGGCCTCAGGGCTGACTCTCCCCCTCATTTCACTCTGTGGCCTGTGTGATTTAGAAAACTATTTCACTTGGTGCAGCCACTATGGAGAACAGTAAGAAGCTTCCTTCAAAAGCTACAAACAGAGTTACCATATGATCCAGCAATCCCACTCCTGGGCATGTATCCAGAAAATAAGGAAACTCTAATTCAAAAAGATACATGCACCCCCAATGTTCACAGCAGTACTATTTACAATAGCCAGGATATGGAAGCAACCTAAGTGTCCCTGGACAGATAAATGGATAAAAAGATGTGGCACATATATACTATGGAATATTACTCAGCCATATAAAAGAATGAAATAATGCCATTTGCAGCAACATGGATGGACCTAGAAATTATCATACAAAGTGAAGTTGGTCAGACAGAGAAAGACAAATATCACATGATATCACTTATATGTGGAATCTAAAAAAAAATGATACAAAAGAACTTATTTACAAAACAGAAATAGACTCACAGACATAGAAAACAAACCTATAGTTACCAAAGGGCGGGGGAGGGATAAATTAGGAGTATGGGATCAACGGATACACACTACTATACATAAAATAGATAAACAACAAGGACCTACGCTATAGCACAGGGAACTATATTCAATACCTTGTAATAAACTATAATGGAAAAGAATCTGAAAAAGTATATATACAACTGAATCACTTTGCTCAACACCAGAAACTAACACATCATTGTAAATCAACTACACTTCCATAAAAAAAGAAAAATATTTCATACACAGAAATATTATTGACAAGAGAACAGGTAATGCTGCAATATACTAAAGTAAGTAATTGATCAAGAAAATTCCTCTCCTCATTTGCTTTAGTTTTATATCAGACATTGTCTTATTGAGTCAGGCCCCACAGAAATACAGGCAGAGCCAACTTTAAGCAGTGCACTTCCTCTCCCACCTTCCTCCTTATGCAAAGAGAGCTCTTTGGAAGCCCAGTGGTGCCCATGGGTTGCGGGGCAGGTTTGTGTGCTGTGTGACATCAAGGAGATAGCAATGCAAACGGCCCATCTTCCTCTGATGCCTCCATGTGACCCACAGTGCCTTCGTCGTCCCAGCGAAAGAGAACATCACCTTTCCCTAAGGGGAATGGCATCCCTGATGCAACCAGGAATAGAGCCTGCGTCTTCTGTGGATGTCTCTGAGTGACAGGACTGCATCTCCTCGTAGCTATATCCATCTTAACAGCTAAGGGGTGGCTGACAAGTCTCGGCAGGGCTCCATCTAGGTTTCCGTTCTTATTTTTAGTCAAAAATCTACATGTTTTGGGTTGTTCCATTGCCAACAGCTTACTCGCCACCAGCTGTCCCAGCACCCACTCTTACAGCATGTTTCAGGGTCACTGCCCACCAATCAATCACTTCAAAATTCCCCTCAAAGTGCCAGCTTTTAATGCCATAGCCTTCTGTATGAGCCCTGGAACTTCTAGGTCATAACCACACTATGCTTGGGAAGCTCCTCAGAAAGGCTAGAGGAGGATAAAGCAGGAAGGTCACATGTGACTTTTAAAAAACTTTACTTTAATTTAGGCAACAAAAGCTTAAGGCATGAATAAAGAAACAAGGAAGAACAATTGATAGAGTTTTCAGAGCTCTGCAGAACTGGAGCCTAGGATTATTACGTGGGGAAAGGAAAAAAAAGAGAACAGAGCCAAACAGAGCCAGTTTATCTTTGCATAAAAGAAGGAAGAAAAGCTTGACAAAGAACAGGGAATGAAAATATCTGGACCATGGACTCTAACCTAAATGACGGGAATACAAAATGAACAGAAACTCTTCTTAAAATCTCACATACTAGCTTTCTGATTTCCTCACATCCCTTAAAAACAAAGTTTCAGGTGGTATACCTAAACGTGTAGACCCTGTTTCCCATAAAACCTCGACGGCAATTTCCAAACATTCACTCAACCACTATTTACTGCACACTTCTTGTATGCATACTTCTTTTATTTTTTAAATTTTTATTGAAATATAGTTGATTTATAATGTGTTAGTTTCAGATGTATAGCAACATGATTCAATTATACATATACGTATATAAATATATATATTCTTTTTTACATTCTTTTCCATTATAGGTTATTACAAGATATTGAGTATAGTTCCCTGTGCTATACAGTGGGTCCTTGTTAGTTATCTATCTTATATATAGTAGTGTATGACTTTTTTTTTCCGGTACGCGGGCCTCTCACTGTTGTGGCCTCTCCCGTTGCGGAGCACAGGCTCCGGACGCGCAGGCTCAGCGGCCATGGCTCACGGGCCCAGCCGCTCCGCGGCATGTGGGATCTTCCCGGACCGGGGCACGAACCCGTGTCCCCTGCATCGGCAGGCGGACTCTCAACCACTGCGCCACCAGGGAAGCCCAGTAGTGTATGTATTTTAATCCCAAACTCCTAATTTATCCCTCTCCCCCTTTCCTCTCTGGTAACCATAAATTTGTTTTCTATGTCTGTGAGTCTATTTCTGTTTGAAAAATAAGTTCATTTGTATCCTTTTTTTAGATTCCACATATAAGTGGTATCATATGATATTTGTCTTTCTCTAAGCCAGACAGAGAAAGACAAATATCATAGTGCATACTTCTGAGTCAGTCAGTATGTCAGAAAATTCCAGGAACACTGACAAAAGCAAGACAGCCTTTCCCTCAAGCATGTTACTGCTTTGGAAGCGGATGCAACTTGGACATCAAAAATTATGAGAAGGTGGTACTAATACGTGTTTGAAAGAATGGGGTCTGGACCAGACTGCCTGGGGTTGTTCTTGCTTCATCACTTACTAGCTGTATGATCTTGAGCAAGGTACTTAAACTCTTAAACCTTGGCTTCCTCATCTGCAAAATGCAGAAATGATATACTTCCCACATAGGCTGCTGTGAGCATTAAGTAAGATAACCTATACAAACTGCTTGGCACAATAAGGGGTGCATGGTAAGAACTCATCAACTGTTAGGAAGGAGTGGTAGTGCTGTTATATAACAGAGCGTGATGATGTCAGTGAGGGAGAAAGTGCTCTGAAACTTTGAAAGGGCTGGCGATCCTCTTTCTCAGGAATGAGGAGAATCTAGAAGGCTTCAGTAAGGAAGGTAGCATTCAAGATCAACCATAACTAAACACACACAAATAATTAGGCTTTCACGGAAATCCTCTAATGATAATTGAAAAGCTAGAAAATGAGCTACTTAAAAAAAAAAACATAGGTCCATGAAATTAGACATTACTTTCCAGGAGTTGGTGTGAAAGTAGATATCTACCATAACGACATAGCCAGGGAACGATACAAAGAAGAAAATCTATGTATTGCTACCAAGAAAGATACAATATCCCACTGGGTCCTGTTCTATTCAACTGTAATCCAAAATGACACCAGGGCTTTTTAATGGAATTGGCAAGCTCTGGGCACACCATTTTTAAACTTAGCCTCAAATGTAAGTCACAGGGCTTGTGACTCAAATCTCCAGTGTGACCTTTACAGGGTATTGTTCAAGGAAACATGCCTGTCACTGCGCAGAGAAACTATATGCCCTTTTATCCTGGAAAGTATGATGCAAAGATGCACTATATTGTTATAAGCACAGAGCCACAAAAGGATTCCGGCTTTGATTCTCCAGAAGCAATGAAAACAAAGACTCTATTTGATTTTGTATCATTCATGTAGAAATGCTGTCTTATCGCATTAATGAGCATTCCTATTTCCCCCATATTCTGGACTTTATTTAATTCAAAAGAAGCTTGGCAGGAATCTCATCATTTATGGATTTAAAATATAATGCCTCTGACTAAATCCCTCTTTCAAGGGCTTACTGAGCCACGCTACTTGTCTTTGTCAGACCCATAGGATATTGTACTGAACAGTAGAGCTAAAAGCACACAGTGACTTGAATTCTCTCACCCCTTCTCTGCTTCCCAGCCCTGGGAGGTCGGCTTAAAGAGAGGGACCTTGCAAAAGACGTGGTGTCATCATTCCTTTCTCACCCTTCTTTATCCCTTCCACTGAATTAGGAAATCCTATCAACTCCTCTTCCCATTCATCCATCTCATGACATCACATTTCATGTACTACCATATGCTTTTTGCTGGTGTTCCTTCTTGTAGCTCATCCTACAAACAGTCAAAAGATTTGGCATCTTCTTTGACTGGTCTATGGTGGTGAGAAGTAAATATCAGAATAAAAAAAAATGAAAGAATGAATGCATAAATGAAATATTTTTAAAAATGTAACTCTAATCATATTCATGCACTACTCAAGAACTTACCGTGGCTCCCTATTTTCTTAAGGATCAGATCTACATCCTCATTAGGAATACCTGTCCCCACCATCCTCTCTAACCTTAAAACAGACTATTTATGACCCAAACCCTTGGGTCAATTAGGAATAGTTTTCTCATTATATTATAGTGTGAATCTCAACTAGGGATGCATCCTTAATTACCCAGGTCAACTAAATTGGAATCACCGGAGGAAAATCCTCACTATA